GGGGTTCGACTCCCCGTCGAGGCATATTATTGTGCGTGAATTTTAATCGTGGCTTCTACTTTCTTCGAACTTTACACTACTCATAAACATCCATCATTAATCTACCATCGCCCATTGGACGTCTGAAGGACAGGAACTTCGGTCTATTGGGAAGTGACGGGTGAGTGAGTCAATCTGCAACATCAGGGCAGGTACCGTGAGCTCATTGACTACACGTCGCGCACCAAGCAGAAGACATGTGTTAGAATTTGCGCACCTAATGGCCAGCCCTCGGTAGCTCAGGTGGTAGAGCAGCGGACCGGAAATTCGTGGACCGGGGTTCGACTCCCCGTCGAGGCATATTATTGTGCGTGAATTTTAATCGTGGCTTCTAATTTCTTCGAAATTTACACTACTCACAAACATCCACCATTAGTATAGGGAATTGTTTACAATTTAGAAAAAAACTAAACCTTAATACAATCATTTTTCTGTTACAGGCGTGTTCTATACATTAGTTTTTAATAAATGCCGTGAAAACATTCTTAACTGAAAGTTGGGATAAAAAATATAGCAGTGCGGTCATTTTGACCGGTCCCGGGCGTTCTAGGTATAACGGCGGAGGGGTCTTTCTAGTGTTAATGAACGAACACAAGATTTGAGATGCACTGTTTCTGAGTAACTCATGCGAAGCAAATGATCGCAATAGTTGAGCAACGATTAACTGAAAGGCCTACAACTTGCATAACTATCGTTTTCAGGGCCTATCAGTTGTGAGGAAAAATAACGTAGTACAAAATAATGAAAACAGTTTTTCCCAACTTTGGGTGTGGCGAATGTCGTTAAAATGCTTAAAACGATGTCTGCGACAATATTAATCTCAATTCGTTCACTTCGCTTTGCGTTTGCATCTCGTGGACAAATAAACATTCCGAAGTTGTTTAGTGAACGAACACAAGCTTTGAGATGCACTGTTTCTGAGTAGCTCATGAAAATAAAATGACGGCAATTGTTGAGCAACGGTTAACTAAAAGACCTACAAATATCATATCAATCGTTTTCAGGGCCTATCAGTTGTGAAAAAGATTACCCGTTGCAAAATAATGCAAAAAGTTTTTCTCAAATTTGCATGTGGTGAATGTCGTTAAAATGCTTAAAACGACGTCTGCGACACTATTAAACTCAATTCGTTCACTTCGCTTTGCGTTTGTATCTCGTGGAAAGATAACCATTCTCAAGTTGTTTATGAGCAAATACACGCATGGTGATACACTATCTCTGAGCAACTCATGCGAATCAAATGATCGCAATAGTTGAGCAACGGTTATCCTAATGGCCTAAAACTTGCATAAGTATCGTTTCCAGGGCCAATGTAGTGTGTAGAATAGTAAACATGTACAAACTGATGAAAACAATTTTTCTCAAATTTGCGTGCGGCGAATGACGTTAAAATGTTTAAAACGACGTCTGCGACACTCTTAATCTCAATTCGTTCACTTCGCTTTGCGTTTGTATCTCGTGGACAAATAAGCATTCTGAAGTTGTTTAACACTAGAGCGCCCGGAGCGGTCATTTTGACCGCTCAGCGTTTTTACATGTGCATATTTTCTACATTTATGGACATTTTTCAAAGATATTTCTTGACTTTTAATATTTTTGGACGTTCTTCATTACTGTGAATTTTCGTTTTCATATCTGTTATAGTTTTCGAGAAAAGAGGTAGCTGTGTTTATACTACCTAGAAAGCCCGTTAGCGGTCAAAATGACCGCTTCTCTCTAATCTGGTTCCTCTTTTTATTTTTAGCCACCACTATCATTTCTGACAGTTATATACTATAGCAGTCAAAACGGGAGTGAAAGCTAGCCGAATCACGATTTTACTGTGATATTGTGCGTTCAGTCAGATAAATTCCAGTGACATTTTTGTACACAATGGCACTTCTGAGGAAAACAGCCTTTGAGGTTTTACGAGAACTTACAACCATCGATCACAACGAGTCTGGAGACGAGAACGATTCTGATGTTGATGAGGACTCCACCTTCCATGAGTCAGCAGAAGACAACAGCATGTCTGATAGTCAAACGTCTGATGATTACACTCCATATGAGGACCCTAGAGAGAGTGCATCAACCGATTCGGTGTCTCCCGGTGAGCTTCACGTATCGAAAGATGGTAGCACGTGGATCGCAGTGGAGTTCGAAACATCTACTGTTGGTAGGATTCCATCACAGAATGTGTTTAAGGATAGACCAGGACCAACTCCCTATGCTAAGAAATGTGTGAAATATGGTGAGCTGTCGAGCACTTTTGACATCATAATCACGCCGCAGATGCTGAAACATATTCAAGTATGTACTGAAGCTGAGGCCAAGAGAGTTTTAGGTGTCAGTTGTCAGTGGAGCGTAAGTCTTCCAGAGCTGCGTGCCTTTATTGGTCTACTTTACATCAGAGGCTTCATGGGTCTGAAGAACATGCCGTTGAATATGATGTGGTGCGATAGATATGGACTGCCTATTTTCAGGGAGACAACTGGCAATAACAGCTTCAAATAAATAATGAGGTTCCTCCGTTTTGACATGCGAACTACCCGATGTGAAAGACTGTTAACTGATAAGTTTGCTTTGGTATCTGAATCGTGGAATGCATTCATTCGCAACTCTCAACAATGCTATGTGCCTGCGGAGAATCTCACAGTTGATGAGCAATTGTTTCCCTCCAAAACCCGTTGCCGTTTTCTTCAATACATGCCCAACAAACCAGATAAGTTCGGTATCCAGTTTTGGATGCTGGCAGAAGTAGACAGCAAGTATCTCGTTAATGGATTTCCATATCTCGGGAAGGACGAAACTCGGTCAAGAGGAGAAAGTCTTGCAGAGAGCGTGGTATTGCGCTTGGTGTCACCATTAGTTGGAAAGGGGTACAATGTCACATGTGACAACTTCTTTACATCGGCAGCATTATGAGAAATGCTGGCCAAGAAAAACACAATTATGGTAGGAACACTTCGACATAATAGAAAGGAAGTACCATCGATTTTGAAGCAAAGAAATAGAGAGCTGTTCAGTTCACTTATGATGAGGAATGAAAATAAGCACACATTAACATCCTACCAGTGCAGAAGGAATAAGAGTGTTTTGGTTTTCAGTTCCCTGCATAGTAACTCTTCCGTTCAAGACTCTGGAAAGAAGAAACCCGAGACTGTGTTGTTTTACAACTCCACAAAGTATGGTGTGGATGTACTCGACCAAATGACAAGAGCACTCACTGTGAAGTCATCATCTCGACGATGGCCAGTCCAAGTCTTTTTTAACGTACTGGATTTGGCTGGCATAAATTCCTGGATAATTTATAACAGTGTTTGCGGAACTAAAATATCTCGCCGATCGTATCTGGTGGGTCTTTCGGAAGAACTGCTTACATGTATACATCACACAAGGTACGTGACAACGGGAATTACGACGAACAACTCAGCGGAGTCGGGAAGTCGTGTGAACAGTAAACGTCGGCAGTGTCAGATTGGTTACTGTAAATATAACAAATCACAAAACAAGTGCTCTGTTTGCGAAAAAATAGTTTGCGGCTCATGTGAACAGATTGAGCGAGTTATCACTTGCTTCAAGTGCAAATTGGAGTAGGTTTACGGAATTGTTTACAATTTTTGAAAAAAAACTAAACCTTAGTACAATCAATTTTCTGTTACAGGTATGTTCTATACATTAGTTTTAAGAAATGCCGTGAAAACATTCTTAACTGAAAGTTGGGACAAAAAATGTAGCAGTGCGGTCATTTTGACCGGTCCCGGGCGTTCTAGGTATAACGGCGGAGGGGTCCTTCTAGTGTTAATGAACGAACACAAGCTTTGAGATGCACTGTTTCTGAGTAACTCATGCGAAGCAAATGATCGCAATAGTTGAGGAACTGTTAAATGAAAGGCCTACAACTTGCATAACCTATCGTTTTCAGGGCCTATCAGTTGTGAAAAAGATTACCCGTTGCAAAATAATGCAAAAGATTTTCTCAAATTTGAGTGTGGCGAATGTCGTTAAAATGCTTAAAACGACGTCTGCGACACTGTTAAACTCAATTCGTTCACTTCGCGTTTGTATTTCGTGGAAAAATAAGCATTCTCAAGTTGTTTTATGAACGAATAGAAGCTTTGAGATGCACTGTTTCTGAGTAACTCATGCAAAGCAAATGATCGCAATAGTTGAGCAACGGTTAACTGAAAGGCCTACAACTTGCAAAACTATCGTTTTCAGGGCCTATCAGTTGTGAGGAAAAATAACGTAGTACAAAATAATGAAAACCGTTTTTCCCGAATTTGCGTGCGGCGAATGACGTTAAAATGCTTAAAACGACGTCTTCGATACTGTTAAACTCAATTCGTTCACTTCGCTTTCCGTTTGTATCTCGTGGACAAATAAGCATTCTGAAGTTGTTTTATGAACGAATACAAGCTTTGAGATGCACTGATTCTGAGTAACTCATGCGAATCCAATGACCGCAATATTTGAGCAACGTTAACTGAAGAGCCCACAACTTGCATAACTATCGTTTTCAGGGCCAATCTGTTATGCAGAATAGCCCCATGAGCCATTCCATGACATCCTATTAAGCCAACATGTCCAGGATTTTTAGGGGAAAGTTAAGCGAAGCCAACGGACTAGTTTTATGATCCCTGTTCGAGGCGATATACCACTCTTACAACGCTATAACTGGGCAGGTTGAAGTTTGGATAGACAAAAAAGGCTTGACTGAACTTTCATTATCATTCTCATAATACACGTTATCTAGAGATGGAAAACACCTCAGCTCTTATACCGCAATATATTAGAAAAGAAAAAAATGCAACAAAGGCTCGCCGACTGGGTCACCAGTAACGGACGGACATCGTTCCGGAGAGGTAACAGCCGGCTATTGTACCGCTAAAAGACGTATTATATTATGCATGAGTTAAAATTGTGATTGAAGGGGGAGGTCAAGCGAGAGGGGGAAAGAAATAACACGAACGTCACTGAGGTCGGCTCCTAGCCATATCAACAAGTCTATCCAGCCAGATTTGTTCAGCATCTTTCGGACCCCAATCACGGACCGGACAGGCTACAACCAAAGCCAACTTCGAACTAAGGGCCTCCATACTTCTTGACTAAGTCATAGATTGGCCATCTCTCCTCTTCTTCCAGCCACAGACCCAAAGCGCGAAGAACGCGCTTCGCGGGAGTCAGCGAAAGCATCTCGGGCTTTTTGCTATACGGTTTCTGATCTCTTCTTCAATTCCAACAACACTGATAAAACTGCCGAAGTAGGTGAATCTTTGAAAGAGTTTTAGCTGATCTCCACCAAGGGTCAGCGCAGGAGGCAGTCCGTGTCAATCTCGGAGGAAAACTTTGCACTTCGAAGGGGCAAAGTATAGCCCGAAACGGCTGACAGCGAGTGCTAATCTGTCTAGTTCTGTTTGGCACGTTCGTGAGTTGTCATACATAGGGGCAATATCATCAGCATACTCCAAGTCAAGAAGTCGTTCATGTACGAGCAGTTGCACACATTCTAAGTCGAGTCCTGTGAAGTCGATCTCCATGAGATCATAAATAGTGGTTGCAGAGGAAAGGCGACAGCTGACTTCCTTGTCTTACACCGCTGGAGATATCGAAGGGGGCGACAGCTTGCCGTAAGCGCTCACTCTGCTCGAGCTAACAGCGTAAAGATCTCGCATAATATTCATATAATTCTCGGGCACACGTTTCCTTAGCAGATAGTCCCAAAGAGCATATCGATTCACCGAATCGAAGGCACCTTTGATGCCGAAAATAACGACAACGGTGAAGTGCCAATATATGTGATGGTGCTCAAACAGCTGACGCAAAGTGAATATGTGGTCGATGCATCCCGGACCTTGACGAAACCTGGCTTGCTCCTCAGGTATCTGGCTTTCACGAGTGCCAATCAATCTGTGAGGGATGACAGAGGGAAGCAATTTGGAGGCGATAAGTGTAGTATCACGCTTCGTCATTCAGTGAGACCGAAATGTGGTAATCGCCATAGTCGCCGGTTACCAACCGTGAGGTCGTAACAGCGAGGTAGAGGGTAGTCTGGTTTGTCAAATTGATGGAGAACGCGGGATGTCGATGATCCCATTGATGAAAGAAGTGCGCGGTACAAATCACCATCGCTGCTGAAAAGGTAAACTTATCATTCAATGCACTCTAGGTGTACTTCCGCATAATTGTGGCGAATTACCCTTTGGCATTAAGCTTTATTCTCATGCGGCGATAAATCAGTCGGGGACAAGCACAGCGCGTTAAGCGCAGAAGCAAGACACAGGTGGTAATGGCCGCGGCTTCAAATTCAACAAGGATTTGTAGTCTGCAATGGAAACGAACGCATCCTCAACTAGCGGAGCCACCCGCTTCTCATGGTATCGGCACTGATACAAAGCGGCATTGATGGATTTCGATGATCCGAGTGAGAGCGAACTGCCATGTGGTTTCAAGTAAACAGGTTGGTAGTAGTGAGCAGTTCGACTGTGTTTAGGCTGGACTGGAAGCAAATACAGGCGGAGGCTTACTGAGGAGGACAGCTGTTCTCATTGATTTGGTGGCGACTTGATTCCATGAATCAGTCTATAAAATAACAGGTGTTTGTTCCGTACGTCAGCTGCTTAACGTGGAACCAACGGTTTGGTTAGTCAGGTGGCTGACCTACAACCTCGGCGCTCGGGTTGCAGCTCTCGCTCCTGACTGGATTGGAGTATCCTTGTGATGTTCCGACCCGAGCAGAATCATTTGTGGTTGCATGGTGCGGAGGAATTGGTAAAAGCATAAGTATTACGCCATACCGACGACGCGTCGTCGCATCAAGGCAGAATTGAGCCGGTGACCTCTGGAATATATAAGACAATCGCGTAATGGTTTCAACCACCGGCCGACATGGACATCAGAACAAGGCACAGATGCAATGTTGAAACCAAACATTTCTGGTCAGGAAAAATGAATTATGCGCTTATCCATCCGTATGTAGTGCTTGGTGAGAACTTTGACCGATGCATTCGCCAAGGACAAATGGCGACGCGGGGAGCGTTGCCCCGACTAGGTGACTATAATGCGGTGAATATGAAGAATCCGTCCGCAGAAACAAGGAAGACAAGAGTATCAGGAGGAGATTATCCGCGCGCAAACGTAGTTACATGATTTGAACGAAGAAAAAAGACGCCGCCGCGAACAACAATGTGGAACAAGTATACAAAAAAGCAACAGGACGTGAAAGTTTGTAAAAAAACAGAAATAAGAAATGTACATAGGGAACAAAGATAATACATGGAAAAAAGATGAATTTGAATAAAGCTTTTTCAGTCAGGAAACAAATTTTTAGTGAGAAAAGTCCCCAAAGTGGATAAACCCATCGGACGAGACTGATAATCGGTGTAGGAGCACTAGTAGCATGTGCGAAAGAGTGAGAGATCAAGTGGTTCGCCAAGCGAAAATGAGAAGCTCGACCTCATATGCGTAGCCAGCCACGGGTCCAAAAAGTTTGAGACGACGCAGAACACATATTAGTACAAAATTGGAAGATTACACGATCTTAAAAGAGGAAAGAACGAACACAGCTTTCAAACGAAAAGCCATATGCTTCTACATCTAGAAGATCTCATGAAGTCATCGGTCAGTCAGCAGTTGTTGGAGTCAATGTTTCGCAGTCCGTAACCCTGCTCTAGTATCGCCACAGTCTCCTTCAAGGCACTGAAAAATGAATCAAATAGGAAAACAAGTGTTAAACCTGGTGCTGATCGGAGAAACCAGAGATAAGAAGGCGCGTTTTGTTAGGTAAAGGTCGGACATAGAAAGCTCTACGGTGAAGGAAGTATGTCACAAGAAATGTTTTCCCGAAAAGGATAAAGAGCAAAGACCACCGAATGACGAAACATAACAGAAGTGAAAGTTGAAGTATGCCAGTGCGTTCGATTTGATGGCACTTCCTTAAGGTTGAGTCAAACTTAAATAAAAGTACAACTGAACAAGCAGACGCAAGGAGGTACACCCTGTGGAATGTGTGTGATCAACAACCTCAACGTCAATACATCAGCCATTTGAACTAGTGTTTCGTTACCGTACAATCGCAGTGACTAACGGAACGAAGAATAATAAAAGGGAGAGAAGGGGGACTTAGCGTAAAACTCTAGCCCTTAAGCAAAATGCAGGATCAAGGAGCCTGCACCATGTTAACCACAAACTGTCATAAACAGCTGGCATTGGCGAGACAGCTACATTGAGGTGTCCACTGCACCGCAACATGATCAGCCATTATCCCACAAATAACGGCTCCAAACACGCTTCAAACAGGCAATCCGAATAGGAGACGGCAGCAAACGCACCACTGGTTTCGACTGCGAACCATGTTCTGGAACGTCTCAGGCCAAGCACAAGGCGAGTCACGTGCACTCCAGCCTGGAAGGCGAGAAGGAACGACGGCACCAGGTTTGGTCGTCAGTGACTTCATTTCCCGCTGCCAAGTCAACGTTCATCCACCTCGACACTTGCGCCTCCCTACATCCGGCTAACAAAACAAGGCCATCCTCGTTCTGAGGTGACCAGACATAAGTAGAACGTACCGAAGCCAACGCAACTTATTCAGTGCTATCTAAATAACACAATGAGAAGACAGATGTTGCACGATGATATCATTTCGCGCTTTCTGGTCGCATGCAAACGAGCGATATTTAACGGTCACGAAAGGGGACAGTCAATGATTTGAATGGTGTCGGAACGGGAATGGAAGAAACAAAAGAGTGTAACGTCCCACAGAATCACAAGGTTTGGGACAGGTGTCACTATCCCCAAGGAGGATTGAGGATGACAGTCAGCTGTTTTTACACGCATAGGTCCGGATGACTGTGATTAATTACCACAGCTTCCGTGAGCCTAAATATCTTGGCATTTTCATTACCGTAGATAACCGTAAACGCCAAGTTAGCGTTAATTTGATGCCCCGTTGCAAGTAGATGTCTGGATATCGATGAGGTCTGCGGTTGTTTTGCTACAATTGCAGCAACTCATTTCGGGATGTGCTCACCGACCCGCTTGCGTAGACACCGATCTGTTATGCCGATGTAGCTGCTTCCACAATTACAGACAAAGTTATAAATGCAAGGTGCTGTGGCAGAGACCGATTGCGTAAGCTTAACCGGAGGCATTTGTAACTCACTAGTTGTCCAAATTGGGTACAGTTTGGCAGCATTGAATGCACGTCGAATTGCTGTGGCAACACGCCGCTCGAAATGCGGAGCCACATCATCCCGTTTGAATGGCAATTAGAGATCGGTCGACAATTTTGACACTGCAGCGAGCTTTCGTTTGTTCCTTTCCATCGCAATTGTAACGAAAGAATCGCAGGGACAAGAACAAAGATCTAAATTGCCGGCCTCATCGATAGCCAGACATCTACTTGCAACGGGGCATCAAATTGACGTTAAATTGGCGTATACGGTGATCTGCCATAATGAAAACGCCAAGATATTCAAGTTCGCGGAGTCTGTGGTAATTAATCACAGTCGTCCGGATATATACGTACTAAAAAAGCTGACTGCCATCCTCAAGCTTCCTCGGGGATAGTGACACCTGTTTCAAACCTTGTGATTCTGTTGGACTTTACGTCCTTCGTTTTTTTCCCATTCCTATTCCGACATCATTCGAAACATTAATTTTCCCTTTCGTGACCGTTAGATGTCGTTCGTGTGATCAGAAAGCGCGAAATGATATCATCGTGCAACACCCGTCTTCTCAGTGTTTTCGGTCGTTCTAAGCAACTAGTATGCTTATCACTGCCTAGAACTCGTCTGCGTAGGTCATTATTGCGGCCACGCTGGTGCAATCCAACATCAGCAATGGTTGGCGGAACGATGATTAAAAACTTGAAAGTGCCTCAGATCTTCAAACCGAAGGGGCCAAGTCTCACTCCCATAGAGTAAGACAGCCCACACCGTGGCCTTGTAAATACGACCTTTCAGACGGAGGGAAAATCCTTCCTGTCGCCCAAGATGTCGCAGATACAAGAAAGCAGTTCGGGGTTTTGCAATAGGTGAATTTGAATCAGTAGTTATGTGCTCATCGTTGTTGACGGAGCTGCCAAGGTAGGTAAAGTGATCAAGTACTTCCAGTTTCTCACCACCAAGGGTCGGAAGTCATCAAGTGAATGGTGGTTCTGTAACAACACCTTGCACTTTGAAGGTGCGAAGCGCACGTGAAATGATGGGACTAATCTAGTGAGGTTCTTCAGGGTTGATTAGACCGCCCCAACATCATTAAAAAGCCAGACAATATCGCCCGCAGAATCAAGATCAACTAGCTTCTCCCCAGACAGCACCTCAACGCCTGCATGATAAGATTCCGCAAGGGAACACTCCATGCAGTTCACGAGGAAGTTGAACAAAAATGGGGATGTTGAACAACCCTGACTAATGCCACGTGCTGGAAAGATAAGTCATCGTAGACCCTAACGCGCCCTGTGGTGTTGGAGTACAGGGCGCGCAAAATGGAAGCACCATACCTAGCAAGCATTTCGAACAGAATGCGTTGATTGGCTAAGTCGAAGGCAGAGCTATTGTCGACCTGCGGTACGTGTGACGTTGCTCTAGCACCTGCAGCAGAGTGGATGTGGTTAATACAGCCACGCCCTGGGTGGAAGCCAGTTTTTGTTTCCTAATTAGTGATTCGCACTCAGCAGTGTGGTGACGAACAAGAATTGAGGTCAATAATTTTCCCTATGAGGGTTAGGCCAAAATTCCTGTGGTTAAACACGGTGCGACCGTAGTTCTTTTACATTGCTACTATGATCGATTCACTGCAGCTAACTGGGATGGTCTCTTTTTGGACCATCCACACAACGGGAGTTTCAAATGAACCCGCAGTCAGGCACTAAGCGTAGTGACAAGCATTGTCTACTGGGTATATTTGGTAACATAGCAACAAAGATATTTGCCCGCAGTCGAAGGAATCTCGGGTTTGGCTGCCATTTAGGATAACCCTAACTAAATTTTGAAAAAAGGCACAAAACCGCTTGCAGAATGCGGCGTGGAGAACGAACAGCATCTAACATGTATCTGTACCAAGCACGGCATCACCGAACGGAATGATCGTGTGGTGTGTGAATGCTTAATTCACCGACGTAACTGATACTGTCCCATCCTGATTCGTTTGTATAACTTTACTACGATCTATTTACAAGTAGTAGATATTTTCTTCACATTTTAGCCGCGATGATTGGACAGACTACTGCCATTGATCACATTCGGAATCTGAATTAACTGCAGTGCCTAGTTTACATTTTCCTCTTAGTCTTTATTATATAACCTTTCATTATTTACTGACAACGATGTGCAAAGCTCAGACATCCGAACACTGCTTTAATACACTACTTATTACATCCTCGAATGAGCGCGGACTGCCCAAACGGACCTAATTACAAGTCCGTTCACCTATTCGTAGGTTATATGTTTCTGTTTACTTCATTATCATTTATGTGGAACCACGGTTGCTTCAATACAATTTATTTTGCCCATCGCCCTTCATTCTCACAGTCCAGACCGTGCGTTTAGATAGATGTCGCCAGCTCGCGTTTAAACAGCCATTCCTGCAGTAACAGGGTGAATGAAAACTTTCGAACTTGGTACAGAAATCAGATAACCAGACAAGCCAAATAAAGCTGTTTACAATCTACTACTTTTCCTTATTCATATTATACAAATTCCTATTTATACCTCTTTCACTTTAGCAAATTATTGAAGTGAACAGGGCCTGTGATTTGGTGAAAATAGAGCAATTGTAGCATCGTGCAGTGATCAAACATTTATATTTCAAATGAATGTCACCGTCTGAAATCTACCAAGATATATTCGATACACTGCATGACAATGTCCCTTCATGTGTCGCAGTTAAACGTTGGGAGTAATAGTTGAAGCGCAGCAGGGAGAGTATTGAAAATGAGCCCAGGTTATGGAGACCATCAACCACCAAAGAAAATCTTGACCAAGTAATAAATATGATAACGCAAGATCGCCGACTAACAACTCGTCAGATGGCAGAGTGATCGATTACCTTCCATGAGCGAGCAGATAATATGCTGACCAAGGAATTAGGCTACTCAAAATATTCCTCTCGATGGGTGCCACGTCTTTTGACTCCAGAGTAGAAGCGTACTCCGCAAATGATGTCAAAGAACGATATGGGACTGTTTGAGGTAGATGCTGATAGTTTTCTTGGAAGATCCCTCACTATGGATGAATGCTGGGTTCCCCAATTCCGACCGGAAACAAAACAGCAATCAAAGTAATGGGAGCTTGCATCATCTCCTATGCCGAAAGCCAAGATTAGGCCGTCAGCTGGCAAGGTGATGGCATCTATATTTTTGATTCCCGAGGTGTGGTGACGATGGATTTCCATGAAAGAGGTCATACCATTATCAGAAAGTATTACTGAGCTTCTGAAACATCTCAGACAAAAGATTGGAGAAAAGTGGTCATGGATAGTGAGGAGAAAAGTCATTTTCCACAGTGACAACGCCCAAGCTCACACCTCTTCCAGTGTTCAGAAAACAATCTGTGATTGCGGCTTCGGACCTCTCTCTCACCAAGCCTATTCACTAGAAATGACCCCTACAACTTCCAGTTATTTCTAAAGTTGAAGATAGCCTAAGCTGGCAAACATTATTTCAACGACAGTGAAGTCATTGAAACTGTAGAAGCGTTTTTAGAGTCACTATCTGAAGAATAATTTTTCACTGTGATAAAAACGCCTCAGCACTGTTGGAGTGTGTTGCACCTGAGAATGACTAGGTTAAAAAATAAAAGAATCGAAGAATACGTATCCCTTTTTGTTGTGGCTCGAATATTTTCATTCACCATAAGTAAATGACTACTCAAAACGATATGGCATGCACTAACTTAACCACCCACACAACGGGTACTCCGGTGTGAGTTCAAAATGATTAAAAAAACATCGATTTTGAACGAACTGCCAAGTACTTTTGTCTATTCATGAGTTGGATATCCTGTTTACAGGAGAGCCACGCAATGTGCAATTACGAATTAGCAACAAGGTAGGTGAAGTCCTGATTTCTCGTTGTTTGCAGTCAGAACAGTTGGATGATTCGGATGAGTAAATGAGTGTCCGAAGTCGTACCCATCGCAAATAGGATTAAGGTGAGAAAAACTAGGGACAGTTTGATAACGATAACGACATGCGCGGGTAAATTAGGGTATGAAGTGAAGTTACCAACCTGCCCCGCCGAACAATACGGTAGCGTTTTGCGTGCGCTGCAGAGAGATCGACGATAGTGGAGCCATCGCGTGCGGAACCAGTCTTACCGAGGTCAATACAAGCGTTGGCGATAGGTCCACCATCCACGATGAGATCCAGTGAGGACCAAAAGGAGGAGAATTCCTGTTGTGAAAGAGGATGGACAGAACGGGATGCGACGGTTGTAGGTTGCCAGTTGGTGAGGCAGCTAAAGGATCGACGCTCACTTAACAAGGTTGTAGACACTAATCCGGAGCCCCATATGGAAGAGAAGCAGCGCTAACGGATGGGTGAGGACACAATGACAGCGACATGGAACGCAGGAACAAACCGACAGCTTCCACACGCGCGGAAAACGGCACCGAGGAAGTAACAGGGGAAACGGGCTTCCGATGAAGCTACCACAGTGCTGTGGCAACACAGAAACACCAAGAATAGTGCAGAATGCATGCAGGTGATCAAACGTCACAATGACTGGCAGCGTTCGCCAGAGCCAAAGTTCTGAGTATCGAAGTAGAAAAACTAGATTTATCTGGTACATAATGGACGCAATTCTCTATTCGTAGAAAGGTATGATAATCCCGGCATAGGTAATTGAAGTGGACCCACCACGACGGGATAAACTAAGAAGCAAGCAGCATTGTTTAAGAGCACATTTATAGCAAAACGTTTACCCGTATAACAGTGTACAATGTCTGAGAGTTATATGTGATGGGTGGGCCGATAAAGCTAGGGGGTTCATCAATCACGCAGAGCCAGTCAATGTGACAGGTAAGCATCAAATCAGTTGCGGTATCTGCATGGTGGTGTGGAATGGTGCAGAAACAAGGAGCCTGAACGATGTTTTAAAGAATTACGAGACAATAGGTTGCAGAAACGCGACAGAGCAATAAGATAAACAACACACCAACAGAAGCATAGAGAGGATGCAACGCGAGGCAGCAAACGTATATTTGAATCAATATGTGTTACCGAGGTAACCAAGAGAAAGGTAATGGGACAGCCAAAAGGGTTACTTAGTAATCCAGTTTGCTAACGTAACATACTAACAAGAATTAGTCTTTAGAATGGCGAACAAACGCCGGAGTTAGGGGGAATGCCACATAACTATTCCCTCCATCGAAATGGCGTCCTCCACGACGCATCAGGTGGTCCAGGACAATAAAGCCTGAGCACGTTTTCATGTTTGTTCAACTGCTGTTTTGACGGGGAACACATAGGTGCTGCTACGTGGGAAAGCACAAACAGTGAATGGACAGTGTCACCAAAAACACAGTTGGCTAGTCACTTCCTTGTGTGGTTGTAGAATCGACCGAAACTGGATATAACAGCTTGTGAATAGTGTTTCAAAGTGTGGGACTGGGTATCAAAACTCGTTGATGATGCACAGAGTACACAGACGGTTATAAACCGCTTGGCGATTGAAGCATCAAAAGATGACATGACCTTTGCTCCTACGAAATGCAAAGTCCTGGTCTTGGATTGGCATTCACCTGCCCCAGGGATCACTCTTCAAGGTATGTAGCTTGAACAAGTGGACAAGTTTGTTTACCTGGGTAGCTGTGACTCTGATGATGGTAGCATTAGAAGAGATTTCTCTCCGTATTGCCAAAGCCCGTTCAGCGTTCGCCAACCTGAAGTTCCACTGTTAGTAAAGGGTATATAATGCCTATGTTCGCGCCGTGCTGCCGTATGGAAGTGAGTCTTGGCCGATTCGTATGAATGAGTTGCATCGGATTGAGGTCTCTCATGTCTGGTGGGGACACCGCGTGAGCAATGAACATGTTCGGCATAGTGTATTTGGCCAAACGATGAATTAGTCGAGAGGAAAGCAAACGATCACTTCGAAATTGGCGTCAGTTGGTGCATCTCGACTGCCTGACTGGGGTCCTAAGGATGATGAACACGTTTGGTTGGACACACTTGCTGATATGGCGAAGAGCCGGCCCCGATGGCGTTTGTGTTGTGAGTTTTTTTGTCCGTCCCCCTCCCTTTAGGTTCCCCATCCAATCCCGCTCTCATGCAAAACATAATATTTAACCCTATTTTTGTATTGTAATTAGTAGTTTAATTTTTTAGTCGCTTATCTTTTTGCATTGCTGAAGTGTGTCTCAGCCTCAGTTAGAGGGTATTGATGGTGATGATGACGGATTCCAGTTAGTAAACTCTGTCGTCCGGGCTGAAACAAACGGATGCAGAAGCATTAAAATGAGGGAAGTGGCTGTGTAAAAAATCTCACCTGAATCGTCAGGGCAGATATGTCCCCACTCAGATTGGCTGACGTCAGGACGACAGGGTGGCCGATAGCCGAATCATGCACATCGGATTGGGACAGGAGGGCGATCAAAGACTGAACGAATCCATGATCGGGGACGCGAACGCCAACAAGAGATGCACCTGGATTGAGTAGTGGACTTAAAGGGTCATTGTCCACGCGACGTGGTAGCAGAACCGTGACCGGACCCGGTAACAACGCCTTGAGAACTCCGTTAGGTAGATGATTAGTGTCACACCAGTAAGATATCACATCGACCTAGGGAAGCAAAGGAGAGAACAGGAGAGAGCAGTGTTAGGGAGGGAGACACGGTGAAAAGAGTGGACAAAACAGAATGCGGAGGTTATGCGTGTATAATGAGGTAGATTAAGTTTCTAAATGGAGAAAGTCCTGACAACTACCCTGAAGTTGTCAAAATGTCCAAAGGCCAATAGTGTCAAGGACGTAAAATTGTTGTTAATTGTCATAATCTTCTCACTAGACACGATTCAAGAATTGGCACGCACTACTCCACAAAACTTTTAGCTCAACCGAAGGAAAAGCAGAACGCTAATGACCTTGACAAAATAACGTGTTAACCGCAGTCAACAAAACACTGTACAAATGCAACGGATCTTGGCTGTATTTATAGGTCTCTTACTTACCTTTGACTCCTGGAATAGGAAGGTCAAGCGCCAAGGTTAGTTATTCAACCTAGTTTGGCCGATCTTCAGGAGGTTGCTAGTCACGTGCAGACAATGGAATATACCAGAAAGTTCGAAATCGATGCGATAATCGATACCAATAGATTAATCACTGAAATAATGGGTTTTCTGGGGAATTCTTATCTACTCCCGGACCCCTCACCTCCTGAGATGGCGTCGGCGGTATATGAGGAAAGCGTGGGAGTAACTTGCAGTCTACGGGACGGTGTTCTTTGCCTGTTGGTACATCTTCGGGGCTTATGTGCTCGAGAAGTGGGTTCCGACGTCTGTGGTCTGGTTTTCTTGCTTGACTGTGAGCAGTTGTCCCCAGGTTCCTTTGGCATTTTGAAGGTTTCCACCAATAAGTCGAGCGGGTGATCGACAGGTTCTGCTTCATCTGGTTGACACAGCGTTGGTCGTAGATGGTTTGCATTCCGGGTCCAGATCTTTGTTCCCCCGATCACGCCATACATGACATTTCCGCGCATGTTTTTGATCGTCTCTGACGTCCACTTCGCGTGGCCTTCCCGATAGTCACGTACTGGCACTGTTAGTCCAAGTGTGAATGATGGTTACTTTGCTCTATGCCATCGGTTAAAATTTTGTTACAGTCTGCGATTTCTTTCACCAACAGAGGGCTCTGAGCGCAGTCGGATGGCGTCAAAAGGCTTGCGAAGCTTCCGGTGCATGTGGATTCGGTGTTGATCGGTAGAGAAAAAGGAACCGGTCAACCATCTACTCTATGCATCCCTCCCCTTTTAACTTGTACAGCTCGCTAGAACGTATCGACAAACCTTTCCGCCTAGCCATTCGACTGTTGGGGAAACGGCGGTGATTGAATGTGCTGAACGGCGCAATGCTTGCAGAACTCCGTAAAGGTTGCGGAAGTGATTTGCGTGCCGTTAACAGTTACGATTGTTTTTGGACAGCCGGATCTGATGAAAATTTGGGGTAGTCTTGATATAGTAGCACTGGTGGTTGTGCTATGCATGAGAAATACTTCAGACCACTTGCTGTATGAGTCCATTATGACGAGAAAATTTCGGCAGATGATCGGCCCTGTGAAGTCGACATGGATGCGGCACCCTGGTTTAGTAGCTTTTGGTCATGAATAGTTAAAGCGGATCCGCGTAAAGCTCTTCGAGATCTTGCTTCTGAGTTAGCAGCATCGCAGGTGGCAGCTTCCAAACAGTTACGAAAAACTGAAATGTCGAAAAAGCTTGATAAGTGGGTTCCGCACAAATCGAATGAAAATCAAAGAAAGTGTCGTTTTAAAGAATCATATGTACTTGCTCTGCGCAAAAAAGCGATCCGTTTCTGGACCAAATTTTGACCTGTGATGAGAAGTGGATCCTTTAGGGCAATCGAAGACACAGTGTTCAATGGTTGGACGATGGTCAATCTTCCCAAAGCGGAAATCGCACCAAAAATGTCGTGGTGAATGTTTGGTGGTCTGCAGCTGATCTGATCTATCATGATCTTTTGAATCCAGGCGATACCATTACAGCGGAGAAGTAATGTCAACAAAGTGTCTATAAGCACCGAAAACTTCAACACAGATCAACAGGAAGGGACCAATTCTTCTCCATGATATGGCTCGCCGCACGTCGCACAACCAACTAGGCCGAATCGGCACGATCTGAAGTATGAAACATTGTCTAACCCACCATACACCCCACATCTCTCGCCTGCAGATAAAACACTACTTCGAACACCTGGATAACCTCGCTCGAAAGAAACATTTCAAAACCCAACAAGATGTTGAAACCGTATTTGACGAGTGCATCGCTACCAGAACCCTGGAATTAAATTCATTTGTGATAAGTTTATTTCCCGCTGGAAAAAATATCAAATTAGGTGAATTATATTTCGAAAAAAAGGTTATGTTTGAACAGCTATGGGCATAAAAACCTTGAAGTGAAAATCCGCAATAAGTTTATGGACGATCTACTAGGAATGGGATAACTGGTGGAGGTCCCGCCCCGCAAGAACTGCTTATCAGCAAGAATAATTAGGTAGTGGGTAATAGACAGGTAGACACCTTGTCAACATGCACATCAAGCGCAGCCACACCGGGGATATCAAGCAACAGTCAATCACTTGAAACGACAAGCTGAAATAAAATAAATCCACATAATGCATACAGACACAGTGGCATTATTCTTCGCTAAATTACCATCTGAAGTAAGTTGGTTAGCAATGAGTCCGCGATAAGTAAGAAATGTCCACAAGTTACTCAAAAATGCTACAAACGCAACTGAGTTACCAATGATAAGCGCAATTAGCATAAGCAACGTGGCCAGTTAATAGAAGATTATTCAGGTAGGCAGAACAAACCAAATAAAGTGGAATGAAATTTATACAGCTTCAATAGACCTAGCTTAAGTGTAAATTGGTTTAGCCCAAATGCGGTGAAGAAGCATCAAGAATGCAACATCTGCCACAGCATGGGGCACACATACATACATGGTTGGCGGCATACGGTTTCGGATTTGTCTGTCACTGTGGCAAGCCACAGGACGCCTGCGCCTACAGAGGGACCATGGGTGACTTGCGCTGCACCACCCACACACACCATATCCAGAGTTAACCCAAAGAAATAAGACCGGGAGGCATGTGGATGGGAGCCACGTTTCATCAACGGAGCCGGCCCACACTCCTTCACAGGCAAACTCAAGCACGCTGTATTTAGGGAATCAAACGTACACAACGCGGTGGCTAGACCGTAGTCCGCTCCACATTGAGTGCATGGAACCGCTCTTTGAGCCTAGCACGGCCACAAAGACCGTGCACCCCGTCCCCTCCAGCAACGACCAACTGTCTCCTGGAGCCAGTATGAACGAGGTAGTGGCTAATAGACAGGTAGACACCTTGTCAACATGCACATCAAGCGCAGCCACACCGGGGATATCAAGCAACAGCCAATCACTTGAAACGACAAGCTGAAATAAAATAAATCCACATAATGCATACAGACACAGTGGCATTATTCTTCGCTAAATTACCATCTGAAGTAAGTTGGTTAGCAATGAGTCCGCGATAAGTAAGAAATGTCCACAAGTTACTCAAAAATGCTACAAACGCAACTGAGTTACCAATGATAAGCGCAATTAGCATAAGCAACGTGGCCAGTTAATAGAAGATTATTCAGGTAGGCACAACAAACCAAATAAAGTGGAATGAAATTTATACAGCTTCAATAGACCTAGCTTAAGTGTAAATTGGTTTAGCCCAAATGCGGTGAAGAAGCATCAAGAATTCAACATCTGCCACAGCATGGGGCACACATACATACACGGTTGGTGGCATACGGTTTCGGATTTGTCTGTCACTGTGGCCAGCCACAGGACGCCTGCGCCTACAGAGGGACCATGGGTGACTTGCGCTGCACCACCCACACACACCATATCCAGAGTTAACCCAAAGAAATAAGACCGGGAGGCATGTGGATGGGAGCCACGTTTCATCAACGGAGCCGGCCCACACTCCTTCACAGGCAAACTCAAGCACGCTGTATTTAGGGAATCAAATGTACACAACGCGGTGGCTAGACCGTAGTCCGCTCCACATTGAGTGCATGGAACCGCTCTTTGAGCCTAGCACGGCCACAAAGACCGTGCACCCCGTCCCCTCCAGCAACGACCAACTGTCTCCTGGAGCCAGTATGAACGAGGTAGTGGGTAATAGACAGGTAGGCACCTTGTCAACATGCACATCAAGCGCAGCCACACCGGGGATATCAACCAACAGCCATTCACTTGAAACGACAAGCTGAAATAAAATAAATCCACATAATGCATACAGACACAGTGGCACTACTCTTCGCTAAATTACCATCTGAAGTAAGTTGGTTAGCAACGCGTCCGCGATAAGTAAGAAATGTCCACAAGTTACTCAAAAATGCTACAAACGCAACTAAGTTACCGAACATAAGCGCAATTAGCGTAAGCAACGTGGCCAGTTAATAGAAGATTATTCAGGTAGGCAGAACAAACCAAATAAAGTGGAATGAAATTTATACAGCTTCAATAGACCTAGCTTAAGTGTAAATTGGTTTAGCCCAACTGCGGCGAAGAAGCATCAAGAATGCAACATCTGCCACAGCATGGGGCACACATACATACACGGTTGGTGGCATATGGTTTCGGATTTGCATGTCACTGTGGCCAGCCACAGGACGCCTACGCCTACAGAGGGACCATGGGTGACTTGCGCTGCACCACCCACAGCTCCAACCACAAACCCCATATCCAGTGTTAACCCAAAGGAATAAGACCGGGAGGCATGTGGATGGGAGCCACGTTTCATCAACGGAGCCGGCCCACACTCCTTCACAGGCAAACTCAAGCACGCTGTATTTAGGGAATCAAACGTACACAACGCGGTGGCTAGACCGTAGTCCGCTCCACATTGAGTGCATGGAACCGCTCTTTGAGCCTAGCACGGCCACAAAGACCGTGCACCCCGTCCCCTCCAGCAACGACCAACTGTCTCCTGGAGCCAGTATGAACGAGGTAGTGGGTAATAGACAGGTAGGCACCTTGTCAACATGCACATCAAGCGCAGCCACACCGG